TTGCTCATTATTTTTTCCTTTACGTCGGTGAGAACAAGGAAACATTGTTTTATACCCGTTTTGCTGACGAGATCTTCACGCCAATGCGAGTCTGCTACCAAATAAGACTCAATCACGGACCTTTCATTCTGCTTGGCCACAAGCTATAGACACTCCCTTTAGTTGGCTGGCCTTATACAAGTGAACTTTATAGTCCGTCTGCCAAGGCTTCTTTCTTCAGCAGGAAGCTCAACACTTATGCTAACCTACAGGGGTGCTTGCTCAGCTCACTGACTCGACTCACATTGGCACAAGTAAGGACCTAGTTTACTATCAGTTCGCGCTTCCTTCTGTAACCTGCTTAGATTTACGGTTAGGTGTTGGAGTAGAAGTAAATGATGTGAGTTTCTGGTGCGCATGAAAGGAGGACAGACATGTCAGGACGAGGAATTGGACCTTATAAGATAATATAAATACCACTTTTATTTTAATGCTTTCTGCCTTTAAAAGGCACTTGCCACTGCTTGCGATGGACACGAGATAGGCTTTGGATTTCGAAGGCTTCTACGTATGTCCGAACGATTCAACTTATACGGGTTTGTTGGCTTTTGGAGTTTGGGGAGAAGTGATCAACACAAACTTCGCCACTTGATGATGTTGCTCACAAAATCGCAATTCCTTTTGTTAATACCGTTGGTCAGCTCATTTTAGCATCAAACGCTTCTGAATTGCTTCGAGGTACATAGCTCCTGTGTCGGAATCGCAAATGATCCTAATGGATTACATAACCTATGAGGACGTATCTCGCGTAACCGGCTCAAATATTAGGGCTCTGCCTGCTATTAAATACTCGAAATGATAAGCGCACAGGAGATGATACCAGCAAACGTCCCTCATGGCTCCTACCCCATTTTTTGCACATGGGAGCCTTGGGTTTGGAAAATTTAAGTGCCTCTACATTTGTTTTATAAGTGAGGACGATCACACTCATATTAAGGAGTCATCCGTGTCCGCTCAAACGCACCACTTGCCCGTGTACTTGTGATATTGGCAGTGCCTAGATAGCTTTAAAGCAAAATATCAAATCCTGATCAAGACGCCCGCAGATGCTAGAGTAAGAAGGCTAGACAATAATGAGACAGTATTTGGCACCTGTTCTAGCCATGTGAATTCCACATTTGCTTTTTGGTGGAAATAACACGTGGCACATCTTCATCATGTAATTGGAGTATAGGCGAAATTATTACGTGAAACACTCATTCGATATACTGTAATCGCATTCAAGATAGGACGCGGTATACTGCTCTCGCGGTTTAGATGAGTAGACAGTTGGATTAAGGACCGCTGCTGCCCCATAGTGTTGCCTTTACTTGGTTGATATTGGCTCGACTGAGCGGATCCTATTGGTTCCCTCCTAATGTTTGTTGACCTTGAGGTAGGCCAGCGTATTATTTTGACTACGATTGGCACATTGGAGTAGTTTTTTTGCGAAAATCGTTTGCAGGCTTGCAGATCGTTTTCGAATGTGAGGTTAGAATGATCGCAATGTGGCCTTTACTTGGTTGATTTGGCCTGAATGAGCAGGTCTCATTGTCTTCCTCTGAAAGTTTGTTGACCTTGAGTTAGGCTACTAATGATTCAAATCCATTACTTTATTGCAATCGGGTAAAGTCCAGAGATAAACATGACGGCAAGTTCAAATAAGCAGCAGCCCGTTGTGATGACGATGTTGGAGTCATTCTGTGAGCCAACTGATGGCAATTTGAAATGGAATGATAATTGATACATCCTGCTTGACATAAAAAGCAATTTTATTTGTTTAAAAATAACTCTATTTCCCCTAGGCATGTTCACCTTAGCCCCGTATTTTCGCCATAATGTCATCTGTGTAAGTTCAATTTGATTTGCATTACCACAATCGCCGCATGGTTTTGCAACCACGTGCGCAGCGACCGTTCTCCTTCATGGATGATCTGAGCCTTTCTCCTCCACTTTTCTTTGGCGTGTGATAGTCACTAAACAGGCACCCTTACTTTTTGATGCCCTCTCATGGAGCAGGAGGTAGCATGAATACAATGCACATTTAAACGTGACCACTATTTCCGTTCCAGTCTCAAGAACGAAGATCGAGGACAGATGGATACAGAGAGATCGCTCTAAACTGGTCCTATCAACAAATGCTCACCCATATGCCAAGCGTTAGTAAATGAGCTATGTCAAAGATGATTCTATTCCGCATTTGGTAGTGCTCTACAGTAAGCATATCATCCACGTCAATCGGAAACTTTCCTGCTTTGCGAATTTCCACCAAGTATTTTTCGACTACGCATCAATAGATGGATTGCCAAAAGTGTAAACCTTTTTAAGAGCCCTTTTTCAATTGCATAAAACTTTGTTACTGATATCAAATTTGAGACCAAGTAAATTGTTTGGGCCACCTCGACACTACCAATCAACCATAGCTGATTGACACATAACTGCTTTGGCTAGGTAGCACATACGATGAATTGCTCCATCAGGACGGGATCCCATCTGAATAAACGTTCTTATCTTTTGGCAGAGCTAGGAATTGAATTACCCCTGTGGACACCATAGGGGAATTGAGGCTGGAAGTTGGCATCATAATTGAAGTAAGCATCATCCTGTGCAGTGTTTTTCGTAGTGTGGGCAATGTTTTCTGCCCTCCTGGCCTCCCTCTCTCACTCCACTACGATGGGTTTGTTCTTCGAATTACTCCACTGCAAGTGATCAGGTGGACTGGAATCGACTGTGACAATGGAACGACTATGAAACGTAGAATTTTTCTTACTTACTGAGAGATCGCTTTTAGTAACTTAACTTAGCGCATTATATGAGGTTTTGTGTGATACTGCCTTTTAATCTATACTGTGAGGACACAAAATGGCGACCCAGTTTTGGGGTTTAGCAATAGTAGCTTCAAATATAGAAAAACTTTTAACAGCAGATCCGAACATGAATGCTTTTTGGAGCTGTAGGCATAGAAAAGGTATTAGTAATGCTTGCTTATCAGTAACTTCCTTAGCAGACCCAAACCAAAAACTCTATAGCAAAACCAATTTTTCGACTGCCTTCTACAAAACCCCTGTTTTCCGTGCTAAGCAATCCACTTTATAAACGTTTTTAGACCTGCAGGATGGAATGCTTTGCAGACAAATAAGCAATTTTAAGGAAAGAAAATGAGGATAGTAACCACTTAACCAGCAAGGTAATTGTAAGTTCAGTCCTAAAAATTAGCTAGACAAGTATATTCTGCTAAAACAGTAAAAAAGCATCTCTTGGTCCTAAAGCCGTTTGATATGAATGAATTAAAAGCTTTAATGCTGCGTTGTCTGCATGTGCTTCCAGTAAAGACACCATCGTTCTTTTGAAAATTTCCTCTCATTCATTGGAAGCGAGTAGGCGTAGCAGATGACAGACGGTATCCAGCATGTTGAAAGGTACATCGGCGGCTACATCCGTATCTGGATAGGAAAATAGACTGAATATTTTTATGAAGTCATCTTGCGCCCCTTTGCACAGTAGTAAAGTAGAAATGGAAAGATTTGTTTCTCTTGACTCACGCATAGCTGCCAGTCTACAGTTGCCTATCACACGACCATCCATGTTTGCAACAGCTGCCCTTCCACTTTCTAAGTTGTAATAGCGTACAAATGCTACAAGACAAATAATAATTGAGTAAATTATTGAAACTTCCAGATTGCAGTGGGTGATAATGAAATACCGTGACGCCGTTGATCAGTGCGTGCCAAATTGTCCATGCTCCATCGAGGGTGACATGGATTCCTCATGCTCTTCTGAAGGTACCATTATACCATACTGGTAATCCTACTTACCTCCTTCCATGTCTGAAATGCTAGACGGCTCAAATGAGCTCAGCCTGCAACTCCGATTTGAACCAGCATAAAGGACAACTCAACAGTGTTCAGTATGCGTTCAGTGAGAATCTTAAAGATTAGTCAATTTAGTGAATCCTTTTTAAAAGTGGAATGCTTTTTGGCATAGAAAACGAACTACTAAAGTTTAAAATGGATGATCTTTGGGTGTATTGCCAATCAGCCCATAACTAACAGAGGGGGAGTAAATCGAAAAAAGGCAGAGCTTTATCTGGAGGAGGTCTAAGAAGTTGGAGCTAAATAAGAAGGCAAATAAAAATTGTTGTTTCTGCGTTCATTTTCTCATGCATGATTACTGCGTAAAATGGTTGCTTACCGAAATCAGTGAACCCGGTGCAATTCATTTCATAAAAGACTCTAAAACCTGTATTGCTCAGCCAAATTGAAAAGTTGCCGACTGTTATCATTAGGCGACAAAGTCTTGTCACTGGATCAATTAAAATAAAGTGAAGGATTAGGAATAGTTAACTAGGCAACAGGAATGGATGAGTGGACACCATAGATGGTCACCATTAGGAAGCGACGCCATATAAATGCGCTCGTGTCGGTAGATGCTCATAAGGGACTTGGTAGAGAGAAATGTCGGTACCAAGCGGGCCCCTCATTGTGTGGATAACAGGATCCGAAATTTGCAAATTCTCATTCTTTTGGTGTTTTCAGCATCACTTAATCCACTGCTTTAGCATGGACTGTAAAACCAGTTAAGAGGCAAACTGTTCGAATGCCTGTTTCGCCTATGCCTTTTTTGGTTATTAAAACCTCTAACCACAATAGACTTGGAGGAAAGACGTTCTGATTGTTTGGAGATTAAAGCAGCAGTACGGCAGTAGACAAACTGCAGTGAGTGAAAAACTCTAGCAATTTGCATCTAGAAGCATAATCGTGAAAGAAAGCACATCCTGTTCTAATTGACCAACGGTTTATTTAATGTGACGCCACTAAGAAGGCAAGATAAAGAAGATATTTCCAGCCCTTTTCAACCGCTTATGACGATCTAAATAAGCTGATTTTATATTTGTTCTTATAAAGCTAACATTTTACCCACTCCTTTGCCAATCCATATTGGTTTTAGATGCTTTTTATAGAAGTAGCAGGTATATAAGCCTCATAAGGTGATTCAATCAAGCGATGGAACGAGGTTGTTTACTAAAGGAAAAAAGGTAGCATCTACTTCTATCCATCGCCCTAATAACAAGTTTGTAGGCTCTCGTTTCCCCCCAGAGGTACATTTAAACATCACAACTATTCCTAATTCTAAGTCTTTCAAGCACCGTCTTCTGTGCTTGCCCCTTAAGTAGTCATTGAGTGCTCCATTACAGGGTTTTCCTTTCTTTGCGTTAGTGAGCAAAACCTCATCTTCGAATCTCACTAGTGGAGTGACTTTTAGGGCTGCATATTGGTGCGTAAAACAAATATCGGCTAAGTACGGAGTTGTGCGATTCGAACGAAGCATTTTGTGGACGGTAGGGTATTTCACCACGCATAATTTTATCACTGTCCCTCAAAGAGCTGAAGTTTAAAGCCCTTGCTTTTCCAAAGGTTAACTATGTTAGCTGTAAGTACTGCTTCATACTTGTAGAGCCTATTGCAGAGTCATTATTGACTTAAAACACCAAACTAATTCTCCATTATGCACTTCAGAATAAGTCTTGAAGTTAGGGATTATAAGTATTATCATTTTAAGCAGTAAAGTCGACGAAAACAGCACAATTGTTTCATAAAATTCACTTACTGGCCGTTTGTCGAAGAAAAATCAAATTGTCATTAGTTTTGACCTTCCAATTACTATCCCTTTTTTACCAGAATTTAATAATAATGCGCCATTTTCAAATGTTTAATATTAGGAGTTTTTAGTTTTTTGAATTTAGGATATTTGTCCTGTTTGACTTTACCAGGAATAGTACATTCTGCATCTCCAGCTTGGCGGCGGCTCACTTGGATTGGTATGTGCACGCCTGAATTGATTGCGGTCATGGTTCTCGACAATTTTGCTCATACTTGTTGCTGGTGATTGTGGTAGTTGGAATTCCTGCTAATTTGATCAGAAGGTTATTTTGATTAATAGTTGAATTAGAATTCACTCTGCTCATGGTAAATCAAGTTCTGACCTGTAAGTAGCATGTCGTTATTTTGAGTTAGCGTATGTATACGGTGCCCCTGTTACATTAATCCATTTTTAACTTGTGCTAACTTAGTCGGGTTAACAAGTCAAAATTTAGTCAAGTCGAGCTTTAGATAGCTAGGCCCTGATGCAGATGATGCGTGTGTTGTAATCGTCGAGTGTATGCGCAATTGTTAGCTGAACGGATTGCAGAAAATTTTAGCCCCAGCACGATCAACTCCCTCATGCGCTTGTAGTCCTCTACATAAACTAGTAGGTATAAGAGTTGCCTCTAAGTGATATTTATCTACGAGAAAGGCTTGCCAGAACCACAGACAAAGCAATATTTAAATGTTAACTGGTGAAATATTTGGACTAAAATCTACGGAACAAATGCAAAGGATATGCCGTTTGACGTTGCAAACATCCACAGGAAGACGAGAAGAAGCCGCCAACGACCCAATTATGTTTAACCGTACTAGTACCTATTCTACTTCCTATGTGGTGAGTTAATTGTCAGCTGTGATGTCAATGTCCAGAAGTTATAATCTGGTAGAAACTAATGGGTGAAAGCAGAGAACGAAGCAGTTTATCTCCTCCCCCCCCTACCCAATAGTACGGCATATGATTTTGCGGCAGATAATAACTCGCTCTCCGTCTTAGTAACAATGTGAAAATCAACCTCAGAAAGCCTACTTTTTTGTACTTATGGCTAGATTCCTATGCTGTCTCCTCGCACTGTGTTAAGTGCACCTGTCGGCAATGGAAGCATGTCTTACATCCAACATAATTGCGCGTAAAATGTAGTATCGTGCAAATCCTATTCTTCCATTGCCTTTTGTAAATACTATGCTCCTGTGTTGCCTTCGGTGTTCGCTACCCCACGCCGTGGAGGCTGCACAGGCAGCCAAATTAATCGCTCCATGGGAGGACTTGTGGACTCATCATTCAAATTACCCGATATTGTTTTCACAGAAACAATATTTTGCTATTTTGCTAAAACAACTATAAGTTTAATCGTATGGACCTTCCCATAGCTGCTGCAATTTTTTGTGGAAAAAAATTCAATCTATAAAACAGCAATATTTATATATTTATTATTAGAAGCTCCATTCTTGAGTTGTAAGACTCTTTGGCCTGTTTGAATTCGTCAGGAATCGTGCGTTTTGCTTCTCCAGCCTGGGGCGTTTCACTTGGATTTACATCTTCATGCCCGCATCGTTTGCTACGGTGTTTTTTGACGGTTATGCTCGTACTTGTCACTAATGTTCATGATTTTTAAAATTCCCGCTAATTTTTCTTTTTAGACTTTCAATTTATTGGAAGTCGAATTAAGGTTCGTTCTACTCCTCTTAAATC